TCATGATTCTGAGTGGAGGCCTTAAAGAGGACAGCTATGGCCTAAGGCAGCATTTGCAGGGCACACTGATGGCTGGGAGTTTGCTGGTGTTGAAGTGATTTTTATTTAGTTAGACTAGTGCAATGAAATGATGGTGTTATTTGGCATTTTCATTTCCTTAACTTCATTTCTGAAGCATCATATTTCTGAATACCTGGGCATACTGGGAGTAACAAAAAAAAAAGAGATTAGTTTTGAGATTACATACACTGGGATTCAATCCTCAGGAGTTCATACAAATTAAACCCCTGCTTTAATTGAGGGTCTCAAGAAGAAACAAATTATGGGATGGAGGTAGTTCAGGAGTAAAGCACTTTCCTAGCATGTGTAAGGACCTGAGTTTGATCCCCAGGTTGCAGAAATAAATAGATAATTAAATATTTCAAATGACTAAAATGTAACCTAAAAGTGATTTTCACAGAGCTGAATCATCTCAGGAGTGTCCCTAAACCCATGAAACTGTTATCTAGCCTCTGTTTCCTATAGCCACAGAGAAGAGGGAAAGAGTAATGGTTTTTCTTTTTTTGTCCCTCCAGATATAAAGGCTTCCCCATACAATGGGGATCTCATTTTCTGATTCCTATTAAAATTCTTGGTTCTCCTTTCTTGAACTATCCAATTCTATTCTTCTTCTTCTCCTTCTCCTTCTCCTTCTTCTTCTTCTTCTTCTTTTTCAGAACCCAGAATTGAACTCGGGGGAACTCAGACACTGAGCCACATCTCCAGCCCTATTTTGTATTTTATTTAGAGACAGGGTCTCACTGAGTTGCTTAACACCTTGCTTTTTGCTGAGGCTGTGGTCCTCCTGTTTCAGCCTTCCTATCGCTGGGATTATAGGAGTGCATCCCCACGCCCAGCTCCAATTTTTTCTTGTACAGCAAAAACAATTGTTACCATACTTGAACTTATGGGAATTTCCAGAATCTTGGAGACTCTCATTCTTTTACTTTATTTGTCAATTAGTTTATGTATTTGTTTTTTTAATCAAGTAACAGAGATTACTATTTTGGAATTTTCATTATTCTTGGGGCTGGCTTGCCTATTTTTATATTATTGCTTATTCTTTATACACACACACATACACACACATATTTTTTTTTGGGGGGGGGTACCAGGGATTGAACTCAGGGGCACTCAGCCACTGAGCCATATCCCCAGCCCCATTTTGTATTTTATTTAGAGACAGGGTCTCACTGAGTTGCTTAGTGCCTCTCTGTTGCTGAGGCTGGCTTTGAACTGGCAATCCTCCTGCCTCAGCCTCCTAAACCGCTGGGATTACAGGCATGTGACACCTGCCCAGCTGCTTATTCTTTTTGAAAGCAATATTGTCTTGTTCTTAGTACATGTGCTTTGTGGTAGGGAATAATTACCTGGTGGCTAGGTTGTTGTAAATCAGTTTTGAATTTTGGGGAATATTGCATTTTCCTTGTGGAAACAAATCAGGGAGTTCAATCAGCATAGAAGATTATTCTTAGAGATGAATATAGGCTTGAATTAAATTTTGGAGTTTGAGAACTACCAAGGATGGAAAAATCAAGAAGTCTGAAAATGTTAGCAAATATGAGCTCATCTTTATTTTCTGGGCTGTGGTTGATTATGTTTTCAATAAAGGATCCTTCTAAATTAGCTCAAACATGATGACCACAGTACTATCATGCCATCATTAAATTTATAATCTTAAAAATCCAGTTATAGACTTGAAAGCCATTAAAATTTTAAAAAGGGAATGGACAGCCTTGTGAGGTCAAGTTCCTTTTCACTACAGGTGTGTAAATAGACAGTACATAGAACTGTCTAGAAGAATTATTAGCTTCTGTAKTAGGTGGGCAGTTAAACTAGATGATGTTAAAATACTATTTATGTTCCAAGATTTTTTGACTCTATCATGAGTAAATCAGGATTCCTTGAAATCAGCCCCTAYAGTGGTATTGGTGTGATTCCAGATCAATTCTCTATGTCTCCAACAACCAGCAATTTATACCTAGGACACAGTGTCAAACAAAAGTTTGTTTTATTATTAGGCAGTAACTGGATACTAGGCACACTGCTAAGGGGTTTAACCTTCACAAAATTCACAAATATGAAATACCAGGGAGATTAAATCAGAAAGAACTAATAACATGTGAAATCAAGGTTTAAACCTAGTCATTTAAACTCCAGAGTCAAACTCTTCTTTTACCTGTCTTGGATCACTCATTTAATTTTATTTAGGGTCAATYATCTTTTATTTTGATGCCTAAGTCATTGTTTCAAATAATTAGTTTCTATATGGATGATTTTCTTCCTTATTTTCTTTCTCTCATTTTGAGACAGAGATCTTGCTAGATTGCCTGGGCTAGGCTTAAATGATCCTCGTGCCTCAGCCTCTTGAGCAGCTGAGACTACAGGTGTGTGTCACTACACCAAGGTTTTCCTTTTAAAAAAATGTGTATACTTTCTCTTGCTATATTATTTTCTCTTGACCAGGGTAGTAGTATTTCAACTTATTAGAATGGAGGCAYTGAGGATTTTTAGTATTATAATTTACTCCACTTATTTTGAGGTCTTCTGGGGAAAAATATTCTTACTTTTTTCTAAACATGCACACACAAACACACTCAGGTATAGCTGCACGTAGAACTCAGGGACTCATACACCCTGGTATGCAAGTTTCCTAAAAAAAAGTTTTTTTTCTTTTTGCATTCTTGGCAATCAAACTCACGGCCTTGTATGTGCTAGGCAAGTGCTCTATAACTGAGCTACATACTCTGACCCCTCATATTATTATTATTATTTTTTAAAGAGAGCGMGCGCGAGAGAGAGATACAGAATTTTTTTAATATTTATTTTTTAGTTTTCGGTGGACACACATCTTTATTTTATTTTTATGTAGTGCTGAGGATCGAACCCAGCGCCCTGTGCATGCCAGGCGAACGCACTACCGCTTGAGCCACATCCCCAGCCCCCCTCATATTATTTTGAGACTGGGTCTTGTCCAGGATGGCCTTGAATTTGTGATCCTCCTGCCTCAGCTTCTTGAGTTGCTGAGATTGCAGGTGTGCAACACTATGCCCAGTCTAAAATGGCAAATTTTATGTTATTGTTTTAGTCAGCTTTTGTGTTTTTTTGACCAAAATACCCGCAAGAGCAAATTAGAGGAGGAAAAGTATGTTTTGGTATGTTGTATCAGAGAGGTCTTAGTCCATAGGTGGCTGAGTTCATTGCTCTGGACTTAAGGTGAGGCAGCATTTATGGCAGAAAGTCATGGTAGAGGGAAGCTGCTCCCCTCATGGAAGCCAGAAAGCAGACAGAGAGGGGCATGGGCTGTAGGAAAAATGAACCCTTCCAGAGCATACCCCCAGAGACCTATCTCCTTCAACCATGCCTCACCTACCTATAGTTACCATCCTGTAGGTTCATTTAGGATGGACTGATTAGGTCACAGCTCTCACAATCCAATCATTTCACCTCTAAACATTCCTACATCAACACAGGAGATTTTGGGGAACAACCCATTTCCAAACCGTAATACACACACACACACACACACACACACACACACACACACACACACCACACACTAGAATCATTAGAATGAAATGTTTGCTGGAAGGATAACCTGGCTCATGTTCAGGGCATTCTTTTCCCAGGTACCCAAACCATGAGTTCTCAGCTTCCAGTTCCTTCATGTCCTCATAAAAGTAAAACAACAACAACAAAAGACAGAATTCACTTATCAAACACTTATTATATGGCAGGCTTTATGCCTAGCAATTTGTATGCATTATATTATTTAATTTTCACAACAACTTTGAGTACATGTTGGAATATGCATTTTACAGACAAGAAAATTGATGCTCAGAGAGGATAAGTAACTAGTATAAGGCCATCAGCTGATAAATGGAATGCTGCGGTTTGAACCTGAGTTTTCTTAGAGATCAAACTGGTTTCTTTTTTTTCAATTAAAGTTTTATTGGGGAAAATAATAAAAAGCCAAAACAGAACAACTTTTTGACATTTCCAAAATGTTAATAGTAGTTAATAGTAGTTTCCAAAAGACACCCAGAAACTCTGATTTATCATTTCCTCACAAGCTTCTTACAAACTGTGTGTCCCATTCTCTAAGGTYAAAAGGTGGCTTCTAATACAGTTTCCTCAAAGCTTCTGCTAAGGAAGAGAATTAGCGAAGATATACRGTGTCTTCCTGTATGCCTGAAAGTACTTTACATATATCAATTCCTTTAATCTCACAATAGGCAAAAAGAGTCAGAGCTATTATTATCCTCATTATGCAGATGAGAAAATGAGCCACATGGAGAATAACTCTCCCAAGGTCACAGAATTGGATTTGATCCCAGAAAAGTAGACTTAAGAGTTTTTTTTTGTTTTTGTTTTTTTTTGTAATGGGGATTGAACCCAGGAGCATTGTACCACTGAGCTAAATCCCCAGATTTTCATTTTGAATCAGTCTCCATAAATTGATCTTGAAAGTGTGATCCTCCTGCCTCAACTGGGGTTACGGGCATGCATAACCATTTGTGCTTCTTTTTCCTTTCTAACAAGCAGAGATCCTCTGGTTAATGACACCAGAAGGACTAAATGCTAACTCTTCCTCTCATGGGGATGCTATTTCCCTGCTTCCCATCCTCCCTGAGATTGAAAGGTTTGTGGAAAGAAATGAGCAAAGGAAAGGCTCTTTCCCCCTTTCAGATGAAGTCCTCAGTTCAGCCTTTGACATCAGACAAAAATACTTGGGGTTCTCCAAGCAGACATGTTTTTCTTATCTTTTCCTTTCTTGCACTCTTAGTGGTCTGTGTTTATCAATTATCAAACTTCTTTACAATGACAGCATCTATAAGCACAGGCTTTTATGCGCAGTAGACAAGATCAACGCATGAAGAGTACATTTTCACAGGGGCCCCAAGCGCCTTCCTCTATTATCCCAAGTCCTCCTGAACCTGAAACCCTCTCACTCAGATTTTTCAGCCCGCATCCAGCTCTCACCCTGCATCTTTGGGTGACAAAATCTTTCCGGCTGGCCTGTTCACCTTTGACTGGAGGTCTGAACCCGGTTTGGGGTAGGAGGCATCCCTTTCAGCCTCTAGTAAAGCAGAAAGGGGAGTCCAGAAAATGCCAGAGAGTCTTTGAGTGTGTCTGTTGGCCTCCTCCCACTCTTTCACTCCATCCGCCTCCATTTTTATGGAGAATCTACGATGACCAGCCGTGTGAGGTATCCATATTGGTAATTATGACACGCGCGGATCTTGGAGCTCTTGAATATTCATGAGGGAAGCAGAAGGGCCAATGTTAAAGAGGAGAGAAAAAGCAATTCATAAATATTTATAGAACCAGGCCCACGTGCTCCAAGGAGGGCTATGARTGTTCACCAAAGGATGACGTCCAGGCCCTGCGCGTGCCAGTGGATCCGGTGCCCGAGCGCGGGCGCGTCCCCGGAGCCCGGGCGCGAGCACGGGGAGGGGGCGGGGTGGAGGAGGGGAGCGGAGCCGGGCGCCGCCGGAGCTGCGGGGGGAGCGCTCGCTGGCTGGCTGGCTCTCCGCTGCCGCTGCCGCTGCGCTGCGCTCCGGCCGTTCGCCGCGGCCCGTGGATGGGGGTGTCCGGCTGAGCCCCGGGATCCGCCTCCCTCCGCCAGGACCCGCACAGGTGTGGTCGCAAGGGGCAACCTTAGTCTGGACCCCACCCACTGCCAGGGGTGGGGTTCGAGTGGGGGTGGTGAAAGAGGTCCCGGGACTCCGGATTCTCCGAAAGGACCGTCTGGGGGCGCCGCACCCTCCACATCCCCAACTCGTCCCATCCCGGGATTGAAAAGAAAGCCCAGAGGCCGTCGCCCTCCTGTAGGGAGAGCGACCGGGATGCAGCCCCAGGGCCGAGAGACGGGGGATGATGAGACTTCAAGCATCATCTCTGAACATGGGCCCTCCGAGCCAGGCGTAGTGTGTGTGTGTGTGAGTGTGTGTGTGTGTGTGTGTGTGTGTGTGTGTGTGTAAAGGTAGGCCGCGCGGCATGGGGTTCGGGGAGCCGGGGAATGCTGCCAGACCGTGCCAGAGCAGTGTGGACAATACCTCATTCCAGGACCGTTATCTGGCCACATTACCTTAAACGCCCCAGAATTATCTTCATCCCTAAAAACCGGACCCCCACTCGGCTCGTGCCCCTCCTTAGGGTGTGGAGTGTTTCCCCAGATGGTGCATTCCTGCAGTGTCAGAACCTCTGGCAGCAGCTGCAGACGTTGGGGGAGCGATTGTTTTACTACACAGCAGGTCGGAGAAAGGACGAGTGTGGTCGTGTAGTGGTGTGTGTGTTGGCGGCGGGGAGTGGTGGTGGTGGGACGCGCTGCGGTCCTCTGGGCCCAGGACTCTGGAGATTGCGGGCTTAACCGAGGAGGTGTTATACAACCCTTCTTTTCTTCCCTCTTGCCTTTCCCTTCCCTCCTGGCAGCTCCGACACTCCTTAACTCCCCTTCTACTCCAGCGTCCTGGTCTTACTTGACCACAAGGGCAGTGGAGTATGTGTGAGGCCTGAGAGGGATGAGTCCGACTTCCATGCATCACCAGCCATTGTACTGCCKGAAGGAGCCTTTCTTTACCCCAACAGACTGGTTGCGGGCCTGCGGGCGCGGGTTAGGGGATCTGAGATGGAGGTGAATAGAGCCAGCATCAGGAGGAAGGACGCCGAACCACGAAGGGTTCATATGCAATGAAATATTCTCTTTCTGCCAAATGTGCAGTTGGCACAAACCCGTACACTGGCTGAGGTTTGCTCAGGAGCCGTGGGAATCTGATGGTGGATTAGCAGAGGGCAGGTTTTAGGGATGGATGTGGGGGGCCAAAGAATGGATCTATAGAGCAAGTAATGGGAAGGATGGGTCGGGGTATGAAATGGGGCTTATGTGGAGGTGCAGAGGCCCAGCAGAGGAGGGAGGCATGGTGAAATCTCCTGCTCAGCTCAGCAAAACAGAGACTGATAATTTGTACGGCAGCCCCAAGCTGCAGCTAGTGCATCATTGTGGTGCAGGGAGAGGCTTTTATGTTACCTACTGGGTCCCTGGTAAACTCCTTGAATGTCTTTTCTTTTCAAACTACACCATCTATTGGAAACCAAAATAAATGGAATAGATATAGGACAATCAAACTATAGTCCTGCACTCTGTTCTATGCTAAAGAAAAAAATGACTCTCCCATAATTCCTTCTTTAATGCCATTTTTTAAAATCTATTCACTTTGGAAGTATAAAGAGAGTATAGCTATTACTTATATTAACTCAGGGGTGTGTGTGTGTGTGTGTGTGTGTGTGTGTGTGTGTGTGTGCAGGGACCAAATCCAGGGCTTTGTATGTGCTAAGTAAGTGCTCTACCACTGAACTACACCTTAGCCCTTAACCCTGACTTTGGAGGGGAGGAGGGCTTTGAGATGAGCTGTGACTGAGCACAGGAACAAGTTGCCAGGAAGGAAGATTAGAAGGTTGTTTCAGGCATTTTAGTTAGGGGCTGAAGGCACCCAGCTAAAAGAGAGCAAAAGAATGGAGGCAAAAGGAAGGAAGGTAAGGGGGCACCGTTGCAAGACTTGTGCCAACCCCAACCCAGAGGATGCCCCTCTTCCCCACTCCTTGAGGGTATGGTAGAGCCAGTTAGAATGCTTGATTCTCAACTCCTCTGTCACAAATGCTGGGTTCAGTTTGAGTATTGAGTGACCAGATTCTCATTTAGGCTTTCAATTTTAGCTGCATCTCTAGCTGGTCATTCATGCAGTGCTTCTTGGCTCCTTGACAGTGTGTTGATAACAAGCAATCTGGCTCTATTATGGATTGTTTCCAATACCATGTTTCTGGACTTTAGATCTTGGTGTTCATTTCTTTTATAATTTCCTAGATGAAACTATTTCTCTAAAGTCTGCTTGTACTGAGGATAGAATAGAGAAACCAAAGACTCAGGAAACTTGAATGAAATGAATTGAAAAAAGCCTTAGTAAAAAATCTGTCCAGGTGTTTTCATCAATACTTCTCTCATTTGGTAAGCATTCCGAAACATCATACATAGACTAATATGGCAGGGAAAATTTTTTTTGCTTGAAATGCTCTTGTGCCATTTTTTTATGTAAATAAGTTATCCTGGTGTTCCAAGCATTGTTGACATTTATTGAACACTTTCTATTTTCCACACATTGTGCTTAGCACTTCAAAGACAATCTCATTGGATCAGTGAAATAACCTTGAAAGTAAGCACTATTTTAAACCCCATTGTACAGATGGCAAAATTGGAGCACAGGGAGGCAGATAATTTGCCCAAAGTCTCACTCCAGTTAGGAGTCCGTTTTTTTTTTTTTTTTTTTTTTTTAAAGTCTTCCTCATGGATTCTTTTTCTTGAGAGAGTGAGAGAGAGAATTTTTTTAAAAAATATTTTTTTTTCACTTTTCGGCGGACACAACATCTTTGTTTGTATGTGGTGCTGAGGATCGAACCCGGACCGCACGCATGCCAGGCAAGTGCGCTACCGCTTGAGCCACATCCCCAGCCCAGGAGTCTGAGTTTTTAACCATCACTGGATAGTATACTACCTCAATTAACACAAATCCTTTTACTATAAAACCTTCTCTATTCTCTATTATACCCTGAGATATTTTCTTAACTAGCTTTTTTTTTTTGATTCTCAGAGATGATTTTCTTCCTCCTTCTTTGATGAACTCTTTTGGTGTTGTGGAGAAACCTATAATTCTTTTCTGAATTGTAGAAGATAAACGAAGAACTCCTGACTAGCAATTAGTTCTGAATTGATCTAGAGCTGTGTGTGCAGTGTGGTAGCCACTACCTCCATGTGGTGGTTCCTGGGTACTTGAAAGGAGCCTAGTCCAAAGAAGCTATGAATGTAAAGTGCACAATAGATTTAAAAGAACTGAATATAAAAATGTAAATTAGCAGGGCTGGGGTTGTGGCTCAAAGGAGGAGCGCTCTCCTAGCATGCGTGAGGCACTGGGTTCGATCCTCAGCACCATATAAACATGAAATAAAAGTATTGTGTCCAYCTACAACTAAAAAAAATAAATGTTTAAAAATGTAAATTAGTGGAACCTGGTAGAGTAGTAYACACTTGTAATTCCAGCTTCTTGGGAATCTGAGGCAGAAGCACCTCAAGTTCAAGGCCAGACTGGGCAATTTATTGAGACCCTTTCTCGAAATAAAAAAAAAAAAAAGTGGGGGGGGCTGGGGATGTGGCTCAAGCGGTAGCGCGCTCGCCTGGCATGTGTGGGGCGCTGGGTTCAATCCTCAACACCACATAAAAATAAAATAAAGATATTGTGTCCACCTAAAACTAAAAAATAAATATTAAAAAAAGGGCTTAGAATATAGCTCAGTGGTAGAACACCCAGTTTGGCTCCCTAGTACTGGAAAAAAAAAAAGTAAATTTTCTCATTAGAATTTTTAATGTGGATTATGTATTGAAATGGAAATACTTTGAAATTTTGGATTAAATATATTACTAAAATGTATTGACAATTAAAATGATTAAGGTATTAAGATTAACTTGCTGTAGTAAATGAGGAAATCAGAATCCACATACTCACCACTCAGCCAGCCATTGGCAGGTCTGTTGTCTTTTTTTTTTTAATGGTGTCAAGGATTGCTCATGGTATAGGGATCTTGTATTTCTGAGCTACATTCCCAGTCCAGGTCTGTTGGCTCTTCAGCCTGTGCTCTTTCCAAAAAAAAAAAAAAAAAGGGGGGGGGGGCTGCTTTTATATCTTTTTATATTCCAAGGTCCTGTCATGTTGCCTTTGCAAAATGTAATGCTGAAGTATAGCTTGATGCCATGGTAATTACTTAATTCTAGCAAAACCCCAGTAAGAACTATCTCACCTACTGCCCTCTGCCTTGCTTAGAGTTTTAGTTTTTTAAGTAGAGATGGGGGATGGGAACTCCAGGCAAAATGCTTAGTTTTTGCTATCTGGTTCTCCCTGGGGTGTGAGTCCAAATGAAGCCTCTTACTGAATCAGTGATCACAGAAACCAAGAGAGAAAAGACGGGTTACCTTCTGTGTTAYAGGAAAGAAAGTTGAGCATATAGAGAAGGATATGATAGACAGCAATGCTTGTGGGAAACTGTATGTGGGGACAGATCATTTTTCAATGAGCACACATTGATTGATTGCCTGGCCACAGGGCAATCTGTGTGTGCTAGGAGCCATGGAGGATATCCGGAGGACAWCTCTGTGCCCTCGAGGAATTTAAATTAAAATTGGGAAGAGACACGGAAGTTAGCACAGAAAGATAAATCACAGTTTAAGACAGTATGTGAAAAAAGGCAGAAAAAGGGTAGAAGTCCTAGAGTTTTGAGGAAGTGGAGGGAAGTCTAAGTGTGCAGCATTCCAGGGTGCAGTGTCCAAAAAGGATATGGAGTCTGATTTTGGAGTTTATGGGTAGTTCATTTAATTCATTCCTGTATTTCTAGGTATATGCYCTGCATCTTGGAAAAACTCAGGTACTTGTCAGAAAATCTCAATTACTGTTCTATCATTCTCTATTATTTATGGTTGAAGGTAGTAATATCCAAAACATTAGCCCTGAGCATGTTTCAGAATTTAGATTATTTCAACTTTTAGAAGGCAGATAGAGTATGTATTCTCAGGTAACAATCTTATTTATTTACTTATTTATTTAGTGCTGGGGATTAAACCCAGGACCTTACTCATGCTAAGCTCATACTTTACCACTGAGTTATGCACTGGGTCTGTCTAGAAACTCAATACTCTGCAGCAAAACACATTGAATGGGATACATTAAAACCCAATCAGATTTATGTTCGTGTCAATCAAGTTTTGTTGCCAAATGAGTTGAGGTCATGTCAATCTTTGTTACCAAACAAATTGTGAAAAACTTTCAGTTTTCAAAGCAGAGCCCCTGGCTAGAGATGTGGACCAGTGGCAACAGCAACATCAACAACAGCAATAACAATACGAATGTTGAACAATATTGGCATTTATTATCTGCCAACCACTTTTTTTGGAGGGAGTATAGGAGATTGCTATATGCTTTACCACTAAGCTACATCCCCACTGCTTTTTACTTTTTATTTTGAGACAGGGTATCACTAAGTAGTTGAGGATCTCACTAAGGTGCTAAGGCTGGGCTCAAACTTGGGATCCTCTTTTTGGATGCCTCAGTTTCCCAAATCTCTAGGATTACAGGTGTGTGTCCTCAGCTTGCTGCCAAGCACTGCTCCTTTATCTTAAAACAACCATTGGAGTTGGGCACAGTGACTCTTGCCTGTAATCCCAGAGCCTCCAGAGGCTAAGGCAGGAAGATCGCAAGCTTGAGACCAGCCTTAACAATTTAGTGAGGCCCTGTCTCAAATTTTTTAAAAATACCCTTATTTTGTGGTGCTGGGGATGCGACTCAGTGGCTAAGCACCTCTGGGTTCAATCCCTGGTACAAAAAAAAAAAAACCCCAAACCATTTTATGTAGATCCTATTATTATTGCTGTCTTGAGAAGAATAAAAGGAAACAGAGAAGTTAAGTAATTTGCCTAAAGTCTGGCCCAGGAGCTGCACACTT